AATAATTATAAACTAACACAATTATATAAGATTAAATAAATGTTTAATAAATAAATTAGTATTTTAAAATAAATTATATGAATTTATATATATGAATTTATTTTCATTAATTTACAAATAAAATAATTCTAAACTAATGAATATTTATGTATTATATACAAATAACTAATCATATTTAATAAACAAAAGTAATGAATAAAATATTTAAAAATGAATTAAGTGAACATATATTATTACTTTTATTTTTATTAATTGAAAAATAAAAAATAATGAAATAAGTGATTATAAATAAATAATTTTTAAAATTTCATAAAAACGTTTCATAAAAAAATTTCAAAAAATATATATTTTACATTTTAGCTATATATTCCAGCCAGTGTGTTTGTGTGTTTGTCTTCCTCTTTCAGCGTCTGTCTGCTGAGTTTGCACAAGTGTTCATGTCATATGGACACACCCTGATCCACACGTGCTTCTGATTTCTGCCGCCCAGGGAAGGAGGAGAGGGTTTAGCTCTTGCACACACACATGTATTTCCCTGCTCATTCATCCTTCTCTTGCCTCAAGGATGACCCCTCTCTGATAGTGACTCACACACACACACACACGGCTCTTCTTGGAACAGGCCTCTCGGTCTGAATCACTGCTCAGATTCTTTAAAAATTCTGTGGTGTGGCAATCTGACTGCAGAAATAATGCATAGCATAACATAGTCTGTTTGCACCTTTAATAACAAATCTGTGGCTTAAGTTACGTGAGGATATGACATGGACCCGTATGGGTGGTGTTGTTCAGATCTGCCTGTTGTTGCAGATTGTGTGTAATCTGTCCATCTAATCAGAGCTTTATTGTGTTAAGCCTTTCACTCTCACTGTCATCGTGAATCGAATCGTGAGTTGAGTGAATCGTTACATCCCTACAGTTGACATGTACAAACACTTGCACAGCAGTTCAGTACTAACTGAGTGAACGCACCACTCACATAGCTGTAATAAAATACTGTAGAGAGAAAGGATGTGGGCAGGTACAGACAGCGCAGTGGGTGGGGGTGAGGACAGAAAACTGCTGTGGTGGAAATCAAACTCAAGAAGAACGAAAATAATCAAAGGCTGATGAGGGGAAACGGTGAGAAAGGCGTCATGATATGGGCTACTGAGTGACAAAAGGTCTTACTGAAGGATTCTATACTATATATATCACTGTTTTAGATCGACTAACTGTAATACTACATAAGATTTCCACTCAAACGGAAAGCATAAATCTAGACCATGCACTGCTGGTTTCAGAGCAACATGCAAAACTGGCATTTCAAGCACTGATGCGCTTCACTCAGCAGTGCTGAACACGGCAGCGCATATACTTAATTGCCGGCTACCCACCAAAATAAAAGCTTGCTGATTTTAGGTTTAAAAATTATGTAAATTCATTATAAAAAGGTAATACTTGTGCTGTATTTTTAAGTGTACTATAAAATAACTGTACTTTTATGTTATACTCAATTTATTTTTAAATATAATAGTATTATCACACTGATTATTTTATTTATTTTATTAAAATACAAAATAAATAAGTGCAATAATACTATTATCACTATTAATAATTAAATAATAATTAATAATCATTTTATTTTAACAGTTATATTTAATGAGTCCCATTATGTGCAGTGTGAGTACCAAACCAAATCTCCAGGTGCTCTCATGAGAACCAGACCGAAAAACTTATGTGCACCCCTGCTTATTATAAACAAAAATAATTATATATTTAAATAAAAAATCCTTAGATAATTCTAAACTAATGAATATTTATGTATTATATACAAATAACTAATCATATTTAATAAACAAAAGTAATGAATAAAATATTTAAAAATGAATTAAGTGAACATATATTATTACTTTTATTTTTATTAATTGAAAAATAAAAAATAATGAAATAAGTGATTATAAATAAATAATTTTTAAAATTTCATAAAAACGTTTCATAAAAAAATTTCAAAAAATATATATTTTACATTTTAGCTATATATTCCAGCCAGTGTGTTTGTGTGTTTGTCTTCCTCTTTCAGCGTCTGTCTGCTGAGTTTGCACAAGTGTTCATGTCATATGGACACACCCTGATCCACACGTGCTTCTGATTTCTGCCGCCCAGGGAAGGAGGAGAGGGTTTAGCTCTTGCACACACACATGTATTTCCCTGCTCATTCATCCTTCTCTTGCCTCAAGGATGACCCCTCTCTGATAGTGACTCACACACACACACACACGGCTCTTCTTGGAACAGGCCTCTCGGTCTGAATCACTGCTCAGATTCTTTAAAAATTCTGTGGTGTGGCAATCTGACTGCAGAAATAATGCATAGCATAACATAGTCTGTTTGCACCTTTAATAACAAATCTGTGGCTTAAGTTACGTGAGGATATGACATGGACCCGTATGGGTGGTGTTGTTCAGATCTGCCTGTTGTTGCAGATTGTGTGTAATCTGTCCATCTAATCAGAGCTTTATTGTGTTAAGCCTTTCACTCTCACTGTCAACACCACACACTCACAGTAAAGCTACTGGAATTGAGACGTGCACTTTTGTATCTAAAAGAAGTGCTTGATTTCATCTAATTTAATCTCTTTTGTCCATGGCTTCAAAACATCAGCACTCACTCGCTCCTCACTAAGGGTTATGATCCTAATTAAAACTAAAACCTTTGAAAAACATTGCTGTCACTAGAAATAAAATAATATATATAAAACAATTCAAGTAGTTTTCAAGGCAACATTTCTCATTTTCCTTTAGTTTAACAGGGCTTGAATTTCGGCGCATGATTTCACATAATCTTACTGATTCCCACTGATAAACGGCCAAATACATACTAAATTATGTCAAAATGCCCGTCTTGTGTATTCACATAAACAGTCGATTTATACTAAACATTGTTGGTATATGCTATTAAGTGAATGTAAACAGTTGAGAAACAAAACTTGTGTGTAACAGTTAGATCCGTGCATAACAGTTAGATCCGTGCATGAGGTCTTGCTGCTGCTGCTGTCTGTCATTAATGTTTATTTATACATTTAATACTAACCAGTGTTATTTTAAAGTTAAATAGATTGTTCAGTTTCTGTAGTATTTCTGTACCTGAATATTACTGTTATACCTACCTGAAAAACTTAAAGCACAGTTAATTTTATTTGTATCTTTTTATTGTATTTGTTTGTGCCATTGCTTGTCATTTATTTATTCTTATTTTATTATTGACTGTTTACTTGTCTTTTTTTAGTTAAAATAAATTCAATTCAGAGTTTGAAATCAGTTCTTTTTAAGTATCATCCTCACAATATAAATATGAATCAACAACATTATAAATTGTAAAACACAAATACACTGGGTGATGAAACATTTAGGTTGGATGATTGTAGTTTAAAAAGTTGTCTAAAAAATACCCTAACTCCCCCCTCAAAAAAAAAAAAAAAAAAAACCCTATAAGAGCCAAGGGGAATTCCCCCCCATTTTCCAAAACGAAATTCAGGCCCTGGTTTAAGTTGAAGTACCAAAATAGCTCAAACTAAAACTGAAATAAAAGAAAATTAAAATAAAATATATTTAAACATTTTTGGAAATTATTTTTTTTTAGCTAAAGTGGTAAAATAATTAAAACTGAAATGAAAAAGAAAAAATATTAATTAAATATTAAAAATGTCAAAAACACAACAATATTACTAAAATGTTAGGCCTAACTAAAATAAAAATTAAAACATTAAAAATAAAAACTAATTCAAATTCAGTGTTATTTTAGCATTATTGAGATACTATTATATTTTTATTAATATTTTGAATCAAGTTCTATCTTTATATGTTACGTTTTTATTTTATTTTTAGGTAATGCTTTAATTTGTGTGTGGTTCTCAACTAGCCTAAATACGTTTTTTTTCCAGTTATCATTTAAAGTAACAATTTTTTAAAATTGTTTTAGCTTCAGTTTTAGTCCTAGTCAACTGCTCAAAATATTAAAACAATCTATTAATGATACTAAAATAACACTGCACACAATATATTTGAATGATACTGCTGCTGAATTAAACATGACACTGATGACAATGCCTTCTCATCTTCTCTCTCTCTTGCTGTCTTTTGTAATCACTCGATTAGGTTTATTGATTTGGTGTGTGTGGTCTGTGATACAGCATTAATGGATGTTATTATCCTGAAGTTTATCATCTGTGCTCCAGCCGCTGAGGCTATTGATTGTGTAACAAAGACACGGCCGTTATTTTGTACTTCTGATTGGTCAGTGGAGGCGTTATCAATGTCATAGTCACAGTAAGAGTGCGCTTGATTGGCTGTAGTGAATGTGAATCCGAAAGGAGTGAACGAAATGAAGTGAACGAATTTGGATGCTGACGTATACACTGCGCATCAACTGAGTTAATGCCTTAATAATATTTTTTTGCATTGGATTATGGGAAATAGTGCTTCAGCGAGTGTACACCAGTTGTACACTCGAAATCAGAGAGGATTGTGGGTGAAAAGTAGTGAACGAATGTAGGGAATTAACTCATTCACTCAGAATTCGGACAGCACTACAAAAAGGCTGACACCTGATATAGTGCACTATATAGGGGATAGGGAGCGGTTTCGGACACAGCTGCTGAATGCTGATTCTCTGGTTCTGATAGTTACCTCAGATAATGCCCACTCAACCGTACATGAACTTACTGTTGCCATCTAGTGCTGGACAAGGTTTAATTCCTCACTAAAGACAGTGTGTATGTTCAGTATAGCATACTTCATTCTACATACTGTGCACACAATGAGTTTTTCCATATTCATATCCAAAATGAGCTATACATTATCCCACAATGCAACGTTTTTACCATTGAATTTCCAGTGTAATGTCTGCTTTAATGTTTCCAAAGTGCTTCCATACGCTAGCTTTTAATGCAGAGGGTGCCTGACCATGCTTCTCTTACGTGCACACCACAGACTGTCCGGGCGCTGCACTTCCACGCTTCAGAGTTCCGTCTTTTGCATTCCTTCGATATTATGTTGTCAATCATTTTTGACATTTGTGAATCGATTCAGAATCGTCCACATCCGCATCGTGATGCATCCAAGAAATCGAATTTTCCCCCCACCCCTAGTGTTGTGTGTGTGTTCAGACTGAACTCAGATTCACTGGATTCATTTCAGTATGCGGAACGTCAGAGGGGAAGTAGTTGATTTTCAGATCGTATTTCATTCCCTCTTTCAGATTGACTGGATTGGGTGAATTTATTAACGTGGTACAGAGGTCAAATTTTTGTTCATCTGGTGGAAAGATACAGTAACCTGTAGTGGTTCAACGGATCACAAATCTCACGGTTCGGATCACATTATGGTTTTTGACCCACGGATCGGATCGTTTTTCGGATCAGCATGAAAAGAAAGATATTTCAATTTATCTTGCTTTCCATTTATTACTTAATGCAAAGTATTTATTTTGATACCACAGCAAATACTACTAGATTAACTAAGAAATTTTAAACATGATTAAAGATACAAGAGAACAGCCA